CCTCTATCCCGGTTTTTGAGGGCCTCCATACAGGCTTTTTGGGTCCGATGCCGGTCTTTGAGAACTTTTCAGACTCTCGAGCCTACGCTGCTTTCTGAAACCCTTCAGCACCTTCTGAGGAACCGACCCTGGTCGGGGACTCATTCAATCTGAGAAGTCGTGAAGGCTTCTGGAGGAGCCTCCATTGAGTCATTCAGTTTCCAGAGGTTTTTTAACGGTCTTGTAACAGCGGACCCTTATGGCAGGGGCGGATCCAGCTGATCCGTTTGGGGAGGGCAAAAGTTTCCGACCTATCCGACGACCCCTATCCGCCCCCGCACTGGGAGGAGTGTAAGATAAATTTTGGATGGGGATGCAAAATTTTCTCAAGGGGCCCCACTGAAGGTTTTGGGCCCCTTTACTTTTTCAAGCTGTCAATCATCGATTTATGAAAACCAAAAGTTAAGGAAACAATCCATACAGGAAGTTATCCAAAATGTTTGCATATTTCAGTGAACCTAACAAAATCACAGCATACCTAAATAAGTGAAATGCAACAAGTTTTTTTACTGGGTGATTTTTCTTATGCTAACCACCACCCGCAAGCCTCAAACCACTTTTCTCTGGATCCGCAGTGGACCTTTGAGAGCCATAAGGGTCCGCTGTTACAAGACCGTTAAAAAACCTCTGGAAACTGAATGACTCAATGGAGGCTCCTCCAGAAGCCTTCACGACTTCTCAGATTGAATGAGTCCCCGACCAGGGTCGGTTCCTCAGAAGGTGCTGAAGGGTTTCAGAAAGCAGCGTAGGCTCGAGAGTCTGAAAAGTTCTCAAAGACCGGCATCGGACCCAAAAAGCCTGTATGGAGGCCCTCAAAAACCGGGATAGAGGCCAAAGGAGCTGATGTTAAGCCTAAAGAACCGGTGTGGAGGAAAGGGTAGGAGTCTGAGTGGGGCCTTCAGGGGCAAGCGTTAGGGCCCCAAAAGTATGTGTGAGGCTCTTGGAGGCAGGTAGCTCCCTGGAGTGTGCATGGGGCCCCAAGAGCTCGCGTGTGCGCCCAAAAATTCGGCTTCATGTCCGTGGAACATGCATGGGGATTCTTAGAAGCCGCTTGGACACATATTTGATGGGTCGTGGGTACCAAGATCGATGTAATGGTCCTAAAAGCCGGTGTAGGGCCAAGAAGTTCCGGTGTTGAGACTCTGAGAGGCCGGCGAAGGGGCACCAGGAGCGGATACAGTGTCTCAACAAGCCTACATGGGACCTGACAATCAGTGTGGAATCCCACGAGCCTGCGTAAGCCCTCAGAGACCTTTGTAAAGCCCTCAAAGGTCGTTGTGAAGGGCCTCTGAATCTGAAATCTTCGCGGGGCCCCGAGGCCAGCATGTCCCCTGCCTGCGTTAAGGCCCTCCAGAGGCCGTCGTAGGGTTCTTCATAGGCCAGCGTGGGCCCTTGGAGCCTTCGTTACAGGACTCTCAGAGGTCAGCATGACCCCTGCAGTCTGCCTGCGTTGAGGCCAGATCAGAGGCCGTCGTGGGGCCCTCAGACGCCAGCGTGGGCATTTGAAACTTGCATTGGGTCCTAGAGGTCGTCGTGAGGGCCTATACCTAGATGATAGAGGTCGTCGTGAGGGCCCTCAGGGACCGTCTCGGGTGGAATCACTGTGGAAATAGTTGTGACTTGTGAGGGCCCTTAGAAGCCTTCAAGAGGACCATCAGAGGTCATCATGAAGATCCTTGGCTATCATGACGGTCTTCATAGGCTCTGGGCCCTCAGGTATCTTTGCAAGGCCCTCAGAGGCTGTGGTAAGGACATCAGAGTCCATCGTTAGGGCCATCAAGAGACCGTCACAGGTTCCTCAAATGGCAGCATAGCCCCTGCAGCCTGGTTGTGTTGGGCCCTCAGAGGCCGTCGTGGGCCGTCTAAAGCCCAATGGGCACTCAGACCTGAGATGGGTCTAGGACCGTGTCACGAGGGCCCTCAGAGACCGCCGTGGGGGCCCTCAGAGGCAGCGTAACCCCTGGAGTCTCCGTGGGGTCCTCAGATGCCGTCATGGGGCACCAAACGCGGTTCGGGACACTCCTAGCCGGTGAGGGCCCCAAAGACCAGCATAGGGCGCTCCTGACCAACAACTGGACGTCTGATGATCGGTGATCCCACATGATCGTTCGTTTCCCGATCACTGGTTTTTAGGATACAATGTATTTGGTGGTGTGACAGGCCTCTTATACGGCTTTTGGAGGGTGCAAAAAGCTATGTTTGCACTCCAATGTTTTCCCTGGGTCTGGAGCTGAAACCCCTGCACCCTCTATCCGGATTTCCGCTGTCCTTGAGCACCGAGATGACCAAACGACTTTACAACGCCACACTATCTACATGCAATCAGTTCAGGGAGTTCGATCTATTAACAGCATTCTGGCATAAATCATCAGCAGCGAGCGTCCAGCTCCTTTCTTCGGAATGGTCGTCACCGAAAGTCCCATGCTTTTCGTCCAGATTAGTCCTCGACGCCGTATTCAATTCTATCATCTCTATATGCTTTGGGAGGGGCAAAAGGACAGTCTTGCCCACATGATTTAGCTTTGGGGAGGGCAAATGCCCATTTTGCCCTCCCCTGGATCCGCCACTGCCTTATGGCTCTCAAAGGTCCACTGCGGATCCAGAGAAAAGTGGTTTGAGGCTTGCGGGTGGTGGTTAGCATAAGAAAAATCACCCAGTAAAAAAACTTGTTGCATTTCACTTATTTAGGTATGCTGTGATTTTGTTAGGTTCACTGAAATATGCAAACATTTTGGATAACTTCCTGTATGGATTGTTTCCTTAACTTTTGGTTTTCATAAATCGATGATTGACAGCTTGAAAAAGTAAAGGGGCCCAAAACCTTCAGTGGGGCCCCTTGAGAAAACTTTGCATCCCCATCCAAAATTTATCTTACACTCCTCCCAGTGCGGGGGCGGATAGGGGTCGTCGGATAGGTCGGAAACTTTTGCCCTCCCCAAACGGATCAGCTGGATCCGCCCCTGTGCCCTGCTGCCACTGCATCTGTCTGTACTGTTTGTTCATTGAATTAAAGTGGCTGTAGCTTGTTGATAAGATTGTCATCAGTGCTGTCATGAAAAAGTTACAATTGGTCACAAAAAGTAGCAATATGCATGTTCTTGGTTTATTTTAAATGTAGTACAAACGTTGTTTATTTAAATTCAAATTTAATGATGATACCTAATGATTAGGGTAAGGTGCCTAATTAGCGACCCCCTTAATTTGAACCGTCATTGCTCACGCTCTGTGGGTGCCACTGTATTACTGGCTTGATTTTCGGAGAGATCGTTCATTTTCCTATTAAAATATAATCATTTTCTGCCCCAATATTCACTAACTTATTTGTAGTGAGCATTTTGGCAGACCATTGCAAAAAACGCTAATAGGGAACTCTTCCCGATTAGCGACCGGGGAGGGTCGCTAATAAGTCTTTGGGTTTCCCCATATTAAAAATGGCAAAAAATGCGACGCCTGAAAAGATGAAATATGATCTCAAAAAGGTAACCTATGCGCAAAGCACTCAATCACTCGAACATGCACGTTTATCCAACACATTTACGTAAGTAAAAACTGATCACGTGATGCACTGAAGGCGAAAAGAAGGCGGAAACCCAAATTTTGCGGGTTATCTCGTATGATATTTGAGGTCCGCGCTGAATTCGGCACCCCTGCAGTCGGTGACGACATTTGGCATCCCCTGCCACACATTGCAAGCTTCAGCAACACCTCATTTTCATTTCTCCTTTTTCCCCTTTCTTTCTCTTCTTGAGCTATTTGCGACCATGTCAGGCGCAAATAGGAAATATGAGTTGCAACACATTTTTAATCGCCATGCTGTGCACAGTTGAGCGATTCACTATGGGAAAACGGCAATCAATTGAAAAAGGAATGTCGATTCAGAATAAAAAAGGTGCATCAACCTAATGTGCATCGCTTTTCATCAGAGAGGGCCCAAACACACACTTTTTGGATAAGAAAATCGTCATTTTTATTTAAACTCACCTGAAACGTCCCACCAGAAACATCGACGACCGGAAAATAATTTAATTTGATAACCAAAGTATGGCTGACCTTTTGACGATGTTTTTACCCCGTTTTCTCCTGCCAGTTTTTCTGTAGGGAGGTAGGTCGCAAATCGGAAAGGGTCGCTAATTAGGCACCTTACCCTACAAGTGGTCTTAACCAATAACCATGTCCACAAGTGATAATTCTCAATTGTATTGCACTGTAAGGTGTACAATTATGTAGGATAAGGGTTTCATTGGCTACATGTTGTCGTGAGATCCATACAGATCATAGGTCCTCCACAAATTTTTGCCCGCTGGATCCACAGAGATCATAGATCCGACCCCTAAATTTTGTCGAGAGATCCATTCGGATCATAGATCCAACCCCTGAATTTTGTCGAGAGATCCACTCGGATCATAGATCCAACCCCTCTATTTTGTCGAGAGATCCACTGAGATCATAGATCCAGCTCTCGGATCCAAGCACATGTCTGATCAGAAGGGATTCAATTCAAAGCTTCCAACAAAACGACGTACAAGAGTACGAAAACCTCCAGATGAACTTGAAAAGGGCCTTGAAACATAGCCAAGTAGTGCTCCATTTGTTTGTTTACAATAATTGTAGTGCTGATGTATTTTTTAGGACTCTAACGGTCGGCTTATAAAAAATGAAACGTTTTTACAAAATTTGTAAGGCAAGTAATATTTATCTGAAAGAACTAAAATATTCAAAAGCCAAACACTATGAAATATAGGAATCGGAACGAAAAAGTCACCCAAAAATCCAGCCTAATCACCGGCTCCTAAAACTGCGACAAAATCGGCACTTTTCCCCGCAACTCGTTGTCCAGACGTAAATATGCAGGGCTGGAAGGTGGTGCGAGGCCAGACCCACTGCCACGCCACGCCCACTGTGGATTGAGGTGATGTGACCGGTGAGGAGGTACGCTCTGCGGTCTGCGCTCCCCTACGTACCGTCCGTCGTCGGTGCGGCAGGAGCTGGAAACTCCGGCCGGCAGACCGGGCCAGCCGGGCGGCACCACCGTCTGCTCCTCCTGGTGGCGCTCCAACAGGTCACCAGTCGGATGGGCGGCGCGCACGGCCTCCTCAGCACCGCCTGCAGCAAGGCAGACACACCGCTGGCGTCACACACAGACACATACAGACAGACATGACCGGTTCGTATCATTTGCCTATGTAAAAATCAAAACGTCTGTACGTAACGCGTCAGTTCCCTTAGGCGGGCTGTTGCGAGGCGACGGTGCGGACTGCGGGGGTGAAATTTTCGCTCCGAGCCGGACGAGTGCAACCATTTGTCGTATTAAATTTTGGTGGGGGTGCACTCGGTGGTTTGCACGTGGCGGGGCGCATCTTTGCCGCATTTTGGGCCGCGGCCGGCGCCGAGCAGACAGCACGTGCTTTGGGCTCAGATTCTTCGCTTGCAAAACTGAGCGAAATCTGAGTCTGCAGGTCACTGACCTTTGGCAATGAACACCGGCGCAGGGCACCGCCGGCCTAGGAAAGTCGCCAAATTTATTCTTGCAATACCTCAGCCGCTACTTGGCCGATTGCAATTAAACTTGGTTTATTACGCTGCGCGTAATGCTGTCCCTCTAGTTTGCCTATATAAAAATCAAAACGTCGGTACGCATGTATGTATGTATGTAACACGTCAGTTCCCTTTGGCGGGCGCCGGGCTGTTGCGAGGCGACGGTGCGGACTGCGGGGGTGAAACTTTGGCGCCAAGTCGGACGAGTGCAACCATTTGTCGTATTAAATTTTGGTGGGGGTGCACTCGGTGGTTTGCACGTGGCGGGTACCTCTTTGCGGCATTTTGGGCCGCGGCCGGCGCCGATCAGAGAGCACGTGCTTTGAGCTCAGTTTCTTCGCTTGCAAAACTGAGTGAAATCAAAGCCGGGAGGTCATTGGCCTTTGGCAATGAACACCGGCGCAGGGCACCGCCGCACAGTGTGGCCAAACGCCAGATTAGCGCGAATTTAATCAAAAAACAAATTTCGGAATTTTGACTTTTTATAGTTTATACCCATCAGTTGATAGGAAATTGTCCAAAGTATGTCAATATCACAATACTTTGGTTCAATGTCTTCCTTTCGGTGTCCAAAAAGCTAGCTAAAGTGGACATACGCAATGCCGGTCCCGGCTGTGCTGAAATCGTCGAAAATCCGCGTCACGTTTACAACACATTTTGGCGTAATTGTCGGAGAGGTTTGGAAATAAATGGAGTGGCATATGGCTACTGAGCCTATATTTGATAGTATACCTACCCGAATTCTATAGGTGTCCTTGGACTAACCGATGAGTTATGCTCATTTTAAAATTACCTTTTCAGACATCCCCTGAAAACACTGTCCATCGTAAAAACGTAGAGATATAAGAAAATGGCCAAAAAACTCGACGCCAAATCTACCATGAGAAGAATTGCCACACTTTTCTGAACATGATCCATTCAAGAAACCCTGCCTCAATCTGCCCCCCGGCCTTTGGCTCAGCTTTGAACGTATCGGGTTGGGCCCGCCCGGGGAGGTCCGGCTACAGACAGGGTGGGCGCGGCGGCGGCTCCGTAGCGTTACGTGGATGGCTCAACCGCTGTATTTCTGACTTGTAATATTGCAGAATACGGTCGCCAATGAATAAATCTTGGCAACTTTTCAACCCTCGCCCATATAGGGGGTGAGGGTGGGGGTCGAACGGACCCCTCTCGGTTTTTCGCAAAAAGCTCGCGTAAAAAGCGGCCGATCGCGACGAAACTTTCAGTATCCTCGATTTTATCAACTTTACACCTACCCTTTCAATTTCACGACCATGACCCCAATGACCTTTGACTTGTGACCTATTTCTCGAGACCATGTTTGGCCGGAATCGCGATTCAGCGTATGTTTGCTTGCATTAGCCGCGCGTTTGCAGTCTTTTCGTGGTTTCAAGCGTCTAGACATGTGATATTATGATGTGAGTCCCATACATTATGGTCGGTGTCAAGATCACTTGAATGTCAGGTCAGTTCAATGACCTTTGATGACCTCGGTTCACCTTTTTTAGTTTTACATGCTTCCAGCCTAGTTTTTGGAGCTGATTTCGAATTTAGTAACCATTTGAACATTTAGGAAGAAGTTTTGGTGCCTTCGTAGCATGCAACGCAGCTGTCAGTGGCGGTTGACACTCCTATCAATTATGAATACCCGGCAGGACGCCTACTGGTTGGCCTGACCTGACCTGACCCACCTACGTTCGCGGCTAGCAAAACACGAATACGGGCGAGGGTTAATCACATGAAGGTCAGTTCTGACCCCAGTCAGAGTCGGAATCGGAATCGATTTTGGAATCCGGACCAAGACTCGTAGTCTGAGTCACCGAAAATCCATCGCCTGCGTGGACTTGCCATGGCTGCGGAGTCAGAGTCCGAGTCGATCGTAGTCGACAGTTTTGCCCGGAGTCAGAGTTGAAATTGACTTTTGAAAGCCGTACTCGGAGTCTGAGTAACTCCATCGACTTCACAACCCTGGGAAGCACATCATCCGTCATAAGCCAGTTCTCCTTACTTTTAGAGGCGGAACTATGCCATAATATGTGAGCAAGCATTTTTAATGCATCGTAGAAGT